ACACACTAGCCTGATAAAACGGACTAAATGTGAGATTAAATGTGTCATTTATTCTGGCCCAGATGAATGAGAACAACCTGTCTGTGCCTATTGGCCAACGCTCTGACCAATGAGAGCAACTGACTGTGATGTAGTAAGCGTGACAGAAAGCTGGTGGGGGAGTTTAACGGTCGGTGAAACCGCGAATAAATCCTTCTTAAAAATGAATGAGCGTAGAGCCTCTTCCTGCTCACGTTTCAACAAAAACACCAAGTCTAATACTTCTAAATCTGAGGCAATAATGCAGGAAAAAAAGATTTTGGCCGCTGGCAGGTGGGGCTAGTTTACTACGCTAGCAGCACACGTGATCTTTTAGTTTTTTATGTTTTTTTTATTTTTCTAAATGCTGAATTTTAAATCAACAAACCTGCACTAAAGAAGCTCTGACCATTCAGTTTGAGGTTTTTTTTTCCCATCAGTGGGGTTTCAGCTTCATGCAGCTGAAGTTCCTCCTATTTGATGATGCGGTCCAGGATGTAAACACTGCATCTGAAATGTAGAACTGTGAACTACCCACGGGGCTCAAGTGTCCCACTTGATGATTCTTCACAAAAATTGAAAAGTTTATATCTTAGTGTTTGAATCCTGAAACATGGCGCAAGGTAGAAAAGTTTAAAGGGGCTGAATATTTTAGCAAGACCCTGTAAATCTGGGATTTGTTTGGAAAACGTGAAATTCAGACAGCATAGTCGTTTAACCAGATCAGGCTTAACTTGTAGAAATAGAAAGCAGCTGTTTCCTTCTGTGTCCCTGTGAGGATTGGGCAGTGATCAGTAACAGGAAGACTTCAGCACATGGTTACCAATCTGATTGCAGTGAGACGGTTTTGCTGATTGAACCTCAGAGATGAAGCTGACTGCTCTCCTCATCCTCTCACTTAATGAACTATATGTGGAGGAAAAACTGCAACAACAGCATATTTTGTATCACTTTTAGGATTTTCTTTTTTGGACTTCATAAGAGTTGGTTTAAAACTATTACATTTCTACCAAAGAAATCCCTATGTTAACAGAATTAATATTTATTATCTTAGTGTTTATTACAGACATAGATGAAAAGGCACTTAGACTTTCTTGGAATATTTCTCTCCTCTTTCCTCCTTTTCTATCTGTCCAATCGGGAGGCGTGTTTCTGTGTGTTTCTTGTATTGCCAAAAAAAAAAAATCATGATTTTTTTTTTTTTTTTTTTTTATAACGTTCAGGATTTTTATAACATTTTAATGCAGTTTTTGAGATCATTATAAAGCTTAAGTGGGTCTAATGGACGAAAATGATTTTATAGTGAAAGTTTATTTTTTGTTAATCAAGAGTTAAAATAATCTTTTCTATATCTTTCTTTAAATAAATACGCCTATAAATACTGCCTCAGCCTCAGTTTAGTTGCTTTTTTTTCTGGAATTATCAAAATGGAGAAGCTAGAGGCTAAAGAAAAGTAATTTAAAACAGAAAAATCCCTTTATTGTCCCGCAATTAGGAAATTCTGGATTGTTTTAAAACTATTTAATTTAGCTGTTTTCTGTAGGTTTTATTGGTCTATATTTTTAAAATGCAAGCAGGGTGTAAGAAAACAATGGAACGAACAAGCCAGTGATTTATTTTTTTAGCACCAGCAAGAATGTGAAGCTGTTTCATTCCTCTTTGTTTCATCCAGGAGGGAAAATCATTTCTCTCCAAAGGTTTTTTTCATAATCTCTGGTTCTAAAATTTATGATTTAAATCACATGATGTTTGTAGATGTTTATATACATCAAGCTGCACATATTGCACTACTTGCCTTCAAACCAAGAACCAGATGTTCAAAATTACTTCAATAAAAAAAAAAAAGAAAATTCCAGTTAAATTCTCAGATTCCCCAGTGTTCCCACCTCCAGGATACTTTTCAATGTTTTTGAGCTTCACCGCTCCTCTTTCCTTCCCTCCCTGCAGAGCCCAGAGATCAGCTTTCACACTCTGTATTTCTTTGTTTAATGTCTTCCTGCATGTTTCAAAGGTCCTAAAGTCAGTAAAGAAAAAAGAAAAATCTAATACAAGCCGTCCCATCTAGGCGTAATTGGAGAAAATGACAGACGAAGTGTGCTCCTGATGTCCAGTCTGCTCCTAGCTTTGTTTTGATCGCTGTAACCACTGAAAATCCCGCTTCACAAAGATAGGATGTTATAGATAGGATGATTCTTGAACTGAATTAACCTGTGTCAAGAGGCACAGATGCACCGACTGATGTAATTGGGAGAGAATACCGCAATTTTTTATATTTTTCAAAATAAAACATCACTCAGACTCTGATCGTCGATACATTATTTATATATATATATATACTTTTTTCTGTGTGGCCCGATACCAAATGACCGTGGCCCGGTGGTTGGGGACCGCTGCTCTAGAGGACTGTGGTGAAGCTGTCTCAGTAAACTCAGCCCACCAGGAGCTCCAGCTCTCCTCACCAAGCAGCTCCTTCTAGCTTCCAGCTGCTCCTCCTGTTGGTCAGCAGGTTCTAGCAGAGAGGACTGTGGAGGAGAACCTTGATAAAGCTGTTCTCTATAGCTCCATCTGGACCATCAGAACCTTTAGAGGAGAACAACTGAGAGCTGCTGGTTAAAGTCAGGAACATAAACATCTGCTGTAGATCCAGGTCAGAGGTCATGATGTTCTTCTTTTGTCTCCACAGAACCATTTCCATCCTGGGCCATAGCTCTCCTGGTTCTCCTGGGTCTCCTGGTTCTCCTGGTTCTGATTCTCTCTGCAGGTCTTTTATATTATTATCGGCACAACTTCATTCCAGGTGAGTCTCTAAAACTGTTACCAATAATGCCAATGGTCTCTGTGTGATCTCCTGTCCTGGCCTCCACCTTCTCCATGAGGATCCAGAGCAGGACTCTAGAAGCTCCTCTCTGTGTCTCTGAGGAACCTTCTGGTGGCTCAGATCTCAGCAGCTTCATGTCTCTTTGTCTGCTGGAGGACAAACAGAAGCAGAAACTAATGAGTCAGTGACTGAGGATGAAGCAGAGCTGCTCAGTTTGCTGTCAGTCAGCAGCTGCTTCCCAGTTCTTCATCAGAAGCTCAGAGTGGAGATGGA